GTCTTGATTTGACATCTAAAATTTGTGAGAAGGGAGAATTCAAGTTAGTTGATTTCTACCCTTACTTACTAACCAAAATTTTAAATTAAGGCTAGGATCCATATTTTCAATTTGAACTTTAAAGAGGGATGTCGTAATCAAATTCAAATCTATTTTAGGTAGGTAGATTCATATCACCAATTTCAATCACATGAAACTCCTAGATCTTTTGAGATTCATTGAATCTTATCAATGGCATGTTTAATCTCGATTATGCTCTTACTAATTGTGACTGGGATGTTAAGGATCACAATCAAGATGTGAATAACCATGCAAACCCGCTCAAACATCCTTGATTGATTTATGATCTCCCATTAATGTGCCAGTTAACCAGATACGCTCCATCAATAATCATAAACGCGAGTTGTTTCATCATTTCATATTTATGGTACCAAATTAGTGTGTCGTTTAACCACATACACTCCAGTATAATTAGATAAAACTTAGATCCAAAGCATTAGGGTTGCATGTGCACCATAGGAATGTTAGAGTACATAAAACCCAACAGTAAGTTCTCATGACGTGACCAAGGGTTGGCCACGACATGAGGCTCAATGGTTGATATTATTGGTTGTTGACTTTGACCTTGACCCTTGACTTGTTGACCTGGGTTGACTCGTGGTCAAGATTGTTGGTTTTAGTGTGTAGACTAAGGTTGGACCTTCTATGTTTTGATAAGGGTGTTGTAGCATCTGTTGTGGGGCTTTGAGTTGTGGTTTAGCTGATTCATGAGTCACGTGAGTCTTCTCAATATATTGTGTAGGATGCTAGCTGTCTTTGTGACTATTGCGTTGTATGTTGGGCGGGGCCCATTTGTATGATGGATTGGGCCCATTTGTATGTTGGGCTTGGCCCGTATGTATGATGGGCGGGGACCGATATCATATATAGCATGTGGTATTTGGGGATCTGACTAAGCTTTGTGCTTACAGTTTGTGGTTTAAACATATTTTTAGGTATTCCCGGTTCCAGAGGAAAAGGCCCGATTAGTTGCACAACATCCCCTAATGGATTTTCCGCAATTATTATTAATGTTTTACTCTGATGTTTGTAAAATACAATTTACTCTAATTGGTTTTGGAACAAATATTTTATGTATTTACAGATTTAAAAATGAAAATTATACCACTATTTTGGGACGTTACATTCACTATCCAATCATATTTTAAATATAATAAATTATATATCGTTTAAATAAAGTAATAGCTATATCATGTTACACATATATATTAAACACAACTAAATAGCACACCTAGCATTTAAGTATTTAGAATACTTGTTAAAAGTGGATGCCTGGAATTTTGGTAGAACTTCACCTTGGTGCTTTATCTTTTTCTCTAACGTGACCTAGGTACGAATATCACTAAGTCATAATCTTACATTCTTTGCGACTAATGATAGTCTAGATTCCTCACTAATCTCAATGTCTACATCAAGATCTATCGAGTAAGGAACAACCAGGTACGATGATATTAGCGGTAGGGTCCGTTTGGTATACAAAGTACAGTGTTTGGAAATCTCACTTTAAACACCTCACTAAATCCAGCCTAGACATCATCCCCGTAAGTAGATAAATCAGTATAATGACTTGGAATTACTGATAACTCTTATTTATAGGTTCATAATAACGACTATAAAAATAAATATAAGTTACACTTAAAATAAAATTAGCGTAACTTAACTTACAGAGATTTTACCAAAAACCGGGAAATTTCGTGGGTAGAATTTCGAAACCGAAAGCTCTATTCCTCTAGGCCCTCTTGCGCTCCGAAGCCTTCTACTAACCCCTAAAATTCCCTAAAATTAGGCCTTGAAGGTTTGGGGTCACTTGGGAGTAATTTGGAAGAAATTTATAAGGACAAAGTGAAATTTTCGGCAAGTATACAAAGGCTTACAGTGCGTGCGCCGCGCACCAACAATAGGCATGTCGCGCCTTATTGCATGGTTGGCCCATCTGATTTGTGACACGTGTCATACACTTTTTGGCCCACCTCACTAGCTTCAAGAACATGCCACATGTTACAAATTCATGGTGCCATGTGTCACGTCCACAACATGCCACGTTGGCTTGTCTCTTGGAGGAATGGGCGGCCGACCTTGCCACATGGCGCACTCTGGTGCTGCCACGTCACCAACATAGGTATTTTCTCGCAGATCTTCATATGGCCATAACTTTTGCATACGAGATCCGTTTTTGATGTTCTTTATATCCACAAAATCCTAACGACGAGCTCTACAACTTTCATTCAGGTCTCAACATCTAATTCTTGCTCTAAAAAAGATTCATTTTTAGACCGATTTAGATTGTTAAAGTTCGTGTGAAATTCATAAGTCCTTCATACGAACTACGTTCTTGACTGTCTTTATATTGATGAGTTCATATTTATGAGATCTTCAATTCTCGTTTAGATTGTTTCGGCTGACAATCAACCGATTTGAATTTTGATTTCTGTGTCCGTACTGCTACGTTGAAACTTCGAAAAATCGTAGCTTCCACATATGTAGTTCAATTTGGACGTTCATTATATGCACGCTCTCGGTTTTACGATTACTACGACTTTTGTTTAGATTGCTTAGGGTAATAAGTAATTTATCAAAATTTCACTTTTTACGATATGCAATATCGTGCCTATTCAATAGTGAAACTTCGAAGAAGCATAAGTTCTTCATAAGAAGTCGGATTTCATATTTCTTTATATGTGCGGAATCCTTGTCACATATACTATAACTTTGGTTAAGATTATTTATTCTAAATAATCTTCTATAAAAAGTTTTTTTTATCGCTTATTGTATCTTATTTGTCTCGCCCCAATCTGGGAGCATTACATTAACGTCCATACATGATTATATTTTTACCACAACATCTATCTTTTTTCCTACACAATATATTTGACTTACAAATAAAAGTACTTTTACCAACATTTTGTAGGGATATGCCATGTAACTTGACATGTCAGTCATATAGTCCTTGTGATTTTCCACGTCAGAGGCCATGTCAGAGCCATGTCATTGGCCATACAAATAAATTATATTACTTTTACCTACACATACTTCCTAGCTTTAGCAATTCATCATGTGTACGTATATCTTGTTTTATACCTACACATAACCAATGTGTAGGTATTGATCTTTATCTACAAGCATAAGCCAACACATAGTGACACTTAAGTTATTTATGGGTAAAGATAACCACCAACACATAAAAACTTCTACCTACACATAACATGTGTGGGTAAACAACCAAATTTCTTGTACATTATCAATTATGTTTTATCGTAATAGCCATTTTGCTTCAAGGTTTTGCAGAAACAATTAGAGGAGTTAGGTATGAGAGTACATTTGAGCACAATCTATCATCCCTAGACAAATTGGCAGAGTAAGGAATATTTAGATTCTCTAGGATATGCTACCAGCGTGCATTATCGAGTATTTTGGTTGTTGGGATACTTACTTGCCTTCATTGGAGCTTGCCTACAACAACACCTATCATGCTAGCATCAACATGGAACCATATGAGATGCCTTATGGGAGTAGGTTTCATACTCATACGTCCTAGATTGAGTTGGGGGAGAAACAGTTCACGATTTGTGAGATTGTTCATATTACTGAAGATAAAATGAAGATAGCTCATGATCGGTTGCATGTAGCTCGCGAAAGGTAGAAAAAGTATTCAGAGAAGATGCATCAACTGAAGATTATCGAGGTTAGCGAGAAAGTGATGATGAAAGTCTCACCTTGGAAATTAATTATTCGTTTTGGCAAGAAAGGCAAGTTAGGACGTCATTTCATTACTCCACTCATAGTGTTGGAGTATATCGGAAAGCAGCCTTATAGAATAGGATAAGTGCTAGAGTTGGAGGGGATACATGATGTGTTCCACATTTGTTACCTATGTAAGTCCTTTCCTGAGGATCCGAGTGTTTTACCATTAGAAAACTTGTAAGTTGATGACTTAAAGCACTTGGAAGAAGAATCGAATGTCATACTCGATCACGAAACCAAGTAGTTACACAAAAAGAGAGTGAAACTCGTGAAAGTTCACTCGAAGAACAAACATGGGGGTGATGTGACTTGGGAGGTCGAAGATGATATCATGGTAAAAGGACAATTATGCCCCTCAATTATAGAGATATTTTAGAGAGAGAGAGAGAAAGAAAGAGAAAGATATTATGTTTCCATAGACAACACCACGCTTCAATCTCCAGCCAACAATCCTTCGGCGTTGTAATCATTCTTCCTTCTTCTTCAGCCATTCCACACCACCAGACATCCCGGTTACCACCACTACATGCAACCACCTCTGAATCCAAACCCACACTCATAACTCCCAGAGACGTACTAGTTCCAAATCCACAAATTCGATTACTCCTCCAACCCGGATAAACCACAATCTTCAACACGTTAGATTTATCAACGAGCTTATGGATTTCCAATTTCTTCAAATTAAAGCAAGCTTGAACTTGGTCGTTCACTTGTTTCATGTGACCATGCAATAGAACTGATCTCTGTAAACTTCGTAGGATCGTTCTTGATTTTAATCTTGCAATAACATGTCGACGATGGAACTAGCGCCACCGCCAGTGAACTTTAATATAAAAGATATGAGCGAGACAGAGATATATCTGGTAAATATAATATCTTCCAGAGCTGTATATGGAGCTATTTTTGCGATACGATAACAAACAGATGTAATTAATATTTTGATAATTTAAGGGTATAACTGTCATTACTCTATAAATTTAAGGGGAGTTATAAAAATCTTTTGGTAAGAATTTTGCCCCATTTCTTAAACCTTTACTCCGTAAAAGACTTTTTGAAAACTTTTGTGCATTCTAAAACATTACAAAGGGTCGAGAATTCTATCCAAAATGGATAATATGCCAACGTGGCAGCTCCGTATTGGTCGATGCTATACCTGGAAATTGCAGCAGCCAATTACTGTAGTCCAGTACCTGGAAAACCAGAACCCTTTTTACGTTCATCAACTACATTAATATTTCCAATTTCGAATTTGCGGTCTGGATAAGAGCAGGAAATCAGTGGCAGAGAGAAGTGGGAAGCCATGTCTACATGCAACATGAACATGGCATCAGCAGCAGCTGCTGGTTTTCTACCTGTTTCGGCTTCAAACACAACTGCATCTTCATCAAGAACAAGTGTCTCATTCTTGAACTTCAATAACCGTGGTTTGAGAAGGCACTTGGTAATTGTAAGGGCATCCGAAGAAGAGCCAGCGGCACCTACAGCAGCAGCCACCACCACTACTGATGCGCCGGCTGAAGGTGCTACAACCGAGGTGAAGGCTGCTAAGCCACCACCGATTGGTCCCAAGAGGGGTTCTAAGGTAAGAAAACCTAATTCTTTTCTCAAATTAAATGTCTTTATTTATTAAACTTGTATTTATAGTCTTTGAACCATCGAATGCGATGCAGGTGAGGATTCTAAGAAAGGAATCATATTGGTATAAAGGTGTTGGATCAGTCGTAACTGTTGATCAGGTTTGTTCTCTCTTCCAAATTCAAATTCTATACCTACTTAGCTAGGTTCATTGCTACGATTTTGTCAGTTTTTTAATATAATTTTGTTGAATATATAGTAGTGTATTAAAATATAGTTACAAACTATTTTATGTAAATACAGTTACAAACTATCCATCTGACTATTATTTACAAACTTTTAACTTCACCCATTAATGACAAAAGATATATGATCAAACTGGATACATTTTTAACTGTGTGATTAGAATTACGATCTGTAGCAAATATAAACATACATGTTATATATTTACAAATAACAAGATTGATTTTTACCATGTTTATAGGATCCAAAGTCACGTTACCCTGTGGTGGTCCGATTCAACAAAGTGAATTATGCAAACGTGTCCACCAATAACTACGCATTGGATGAGATTGAAGAAGTTGTGTAAGAATTACATACCAAATTGTTATGCCAATGTGTATAGACGTTACTTTATCTGAAGAATATTCTTCCCTAAACATGATTATGTAAGCCCAAATTTTCTGGAAGAAAAATATGAATGTGCATACATAACATTATATCTATTTATTTTTGTTTATATTTCATATGTAGAGGGACTAGGTGGCTTTTAATGTTTTCTGATGTTGCATGTCTGTACATAGGGCTGCAGATGACATCCTTCACAGCCTTATATGTGCTCAATAAACGTCTTATGAATAATAGACACATATCGAATTATTGGTGGTTGTTGACATTGAGGAAAGATTAATATATACCAATAGAATGATCTAAAACAAAACTCACCAAGTCTTTTTATTTTTTTTATACTTTATAGAATAAGTGGAAAACATGAAAGTTTGTTTAAAAAACATTAAAACTATTTCGTTTTCCTGCTATTAATCTCTAACATAAACTTGTTGTGTTGGTTAAAAGTTGAAAGAGGTATACAACAACGTCTTGGTCTTCAATCCGTAGCACCTCTGGGAATTCTTCAAGCTCTAGTAGATGCTACATAGTTTTAAAGGAGAATCTTCTTCACATAGAAAATATAATAGTCATATCAATTTTATTAATGGTTTAACTAATTTTTTTGTGTTGTCACCATGTTCTAGCCGATCTCCGGTTGGACTAATTAAGTACACTATGTTATCTCTTCAATCATCAATGGTATATTTTTTTGTCAATTAATTGAAGGTTTGATACGTACTGTTTCAAGGATTTGGTTGTCATATACTACAATTGATATATGAAAGGGGCACAAAGTTCTCTTTTCTTAGTAAAACTCTTTCTTGTTGTTGCAATAATGATGTACTGCATCTAACTTTTTGTCCAATGAAAGTGTATCTAAAATTTTCTTTTAGTGTCTAGGGAGACAATGTTGGAGAAACAACCCAGAAAACACAAACAAACAAAGCAAACTTACAAAGGTGTTTCTGCACACACACAAACTCAAAGGAGAGAATAAAAGGGTTCTTGTTCTAAAACTGATATTTCTTTATAATCGTCAAGAACAAGTTTAATCTGATTATAATTGCCTATATATAAGGCTTCAACCATCGTACCTTTTCAACCAATCACACCCCTTTATTTGACAGGTACATAACTATAACTTTCTTCGGACACAACAAATTATGCTTTACAGGATTGTACGGTACAACATTTTAAAACATAAACTATTGTGTATGGAAAATTTTTATTGTGTACCGATAAACTCCAATAACTAATACATTCCAGAATTAACTACCTATTAACTAACCTATCAAAATTACAAAACTAACCCTAAGTCTAGATTACATTTCAACAGACAACACCTACAGGAGATTAGAAAGTTCTATGTCGAAATGTAAATTACATAGTTGATAAGTAGAAATGAACACACATGATTGAAGAAATACCACATGATTTAGTTAATTCTTGATGAATGAATAACATGTATATAGGGAAAATGAAAGAGAAATTAATATAACATTATTTATCAAATAATGGGTTTAAGTGTGAGTTTGTGGAGTCTCAACAATTCCTCTGAAATTTTTAAAATTTAGTATTGATTAATTAGTTAATTAGGGTTTATATGAACAACTTAACATTGTATATAATTCTCAAGGTTATTGTAAACATGATTATGAAATTATTAGAAACACACTCTAGTTCACATTTCAACATAGCACGTTTAACATAATCGTATGAACAATGTAAATTTTGTGTGTATTTTTTTTTATTTTGATCTTATCAACGATTATGTGGATCAAAGCTCTAATTTTAAGTTCTAATTTGAACCGATTAGTCATCCCTTTATTTACAACATAGGTCATTTGACTTACTTTTAAGTCGCTTATTTAACAAAACTCCATCTTGACTCGCAACTAAAACTTCTCGTATATCTAACTATCGTGTTTAATGAAATCAAAGAAGTGTCGAATTTGTATTTCATGACCGATTATGTTACCATGCTCATTGTCGTTATCATGTTTCTTGTTCTTCTTCACGTTCATATGTGTCTCGATCTTACTCAAATGAAATAATAACAGACATCAATATATATATGATTTGTGTGATTGTAGAAAATTTGGCCCTTAGTCAAACAAACCGCACTCATATTATCACATTTCACAAAAATATTATCTTTACGAACCCCAAGATCACTCACAAAACCTTTCTTCTATATTTTTCCCCTTTTCGATTACTTAAGGGCCATATACTAGGCCTTGGTAGTTAATAAAGTAAAAAACAGTTGAATAGTTTCGTTATAACTCATGGTCGTACTAACCGCATATCGTGTGAATGACCTCCTCATGTCGGGATTCTCAGCTGAAGCAAAAATATAGTTGAAATTTTTAAATCCCCAAATACATGGATTATGAAAGTAAAATAAAGTAGAACACTTTCTTTTGGTGCAGGGAAGAAACGAAACAGTGGACATAAAAGAATTAGAGAACTAGAATTTCATAAAAAAACGACGCATGACACCTACTTTTATACTAAAAGAATTAGAGAACTAATGAAACTCTAAATAAATATAACAAAACTTAAAGATTTAAAACATGCCTTTTTTTAACTCGTATGAATCAAAACCAATTTACCCAACAGATTTAACAATATTCAACTATAGAACTTTAAAATTACAACCTTATTGATTAAAGGTGTCATTTGGAGTTTGGAGAACAATTACCATAAATTGGTAATCTCTAGAAGTTGTTTTTAATAATCATATATTGAAGGCGGCACATATTATTGAGATATGAAGTTGTCGTGTCCATATGGACAAGATTGGTAGAGGCTCTGATATTTGACATTCCCTTGATGTATATCATTCATGATTTCACGAATTTTATATCATCGGTGCTCTATACTTCCAAAAAGAAGATGGTGTTAGATGTGATTACTCCATCTAATTGGTGGACTATTTGTAATTTTAGGGATTGCTTAGTTTTTGATGTGTGCATGTGTTGACAATTAATTTGGGACCGAGGTAGTATTAGTTTATGTTTGTATAATTGGACTGTGCATAGAAAACACAACCTTCATTGAAAGGTTGCCATTTTCGCTTCAAAATCAGATTCTAAACTGTTATGTACTTGCTTTTGTTTTAATAGCTTCCTGCTAGTGAAAATTTAATATATAATATTCTGCTGTTCAAACAATATAACATACTAATATATAATAACACTTAGTTGAACTTTGATAACATTTCTTTAATCAACCGACTGATTTTTTCTTTACGAATATTTTAAGAATATGTTGATCTTCTTGATCACATTATCGTAAATGTATGTGACATTTTCAATCGATGAGTTCTTATCGGTAATGTATGTTACAAAATTTAAATAAATCCCAGATTGATGTCGGGCCAATCATAGACAGTGCCCTAGCCTCAGGCTGCAACCATAAAATATCGGTATTGGGCCCAAATAAACAAACTACTTTAAAAGTTAGAATATTAATAACACATCATCTTTTTTCATCCATTCTTTAAAACAATCAATATGTATGAATTTAAAACAATCAATACCATCATATCATGCAATGAAAGCTATAAAATTTTAACTATTTATCATCGTTTTTTCCTAACCAATTCATACACTTTTATTTTGTTGAAATCACATGTCGTTGAAATCAAGCTAAATATGAATTTTTATCTTCTACTGTAGATATATCTCTACTCTCTTACTTTTTATAAAATTAATTCAGGATTTTGAGATGACTATGCTTTGCTTACGGTTACGTATATCTGAAAAATTCTTCATTCGATCTTGTCACTTAAACTCTCAAAGTCTCAAACTATCAAACCAGGTATGTCAAGTCCAATGTTCCATATTCGGCCCAATATTTCATTAACTTTATTTAAATACTAGGCGGATGCCCGTGCGTTGCGCAGAAACACCTATATAGTTGAAGTCTTTACAAATATATGTTTTTTTTAATATAACAATAACGTTATTGTTAAATTTGATATAATAATTTGTATACTAAATTGATATAGTATATTAATTATTTTGAATTATATAATAATATATACATCTATTATAGCTGTATAATCTCAATCGTTTGAATGACTTCTACCCGCGAGTTACACATGCATAATACTGAATATAATATATGGTTTAATGTTATTTATAGTTGTTGTTATTGTTAATTAATTTTTTAAAACTTTATTTACTTAATGCTTTAATTTCTATCATTATAATTATTTAAAACATCAAACATTGTTTTTTGATTTTAAAGGTAACAATATAATCATTTATATAGAGTTATTTTTAACTATTGTTATTGTAAGTTATTTTAAGCTACTTATTTGAAAACTTTTAACGATTATAAAAATATCTTTAGGAAACATTTTAGTTAAATTGAGATTACAATTTAGTTTTTGCATTTATCACTACAATTTATCACTTTTAATTATTTACAAAATATTCTTTGGTTTTTAAGTGGAACTGAAATTTATATTTAAGTTGATATTGTAATGTTATATTTAAAATAACAATTTAAGTATTTTGTCCAAACTGTTAAAAAGTTGTAGCTTTAAACTGATAATGGTTACATACAATAACATAGTAAATCTAATAAATTCAGTATAAAATATTAAAAGTTAAAGACAAAACTTTATAAGTAGACGTGAAGATATTATTTTAAAATTGAAATTTAATATATTTATGATTACATTTTAGGTTTGATATTTATTTATCCTTATTTACCAACTTATAATCATTTTATAAAAAAAACATTACAATTAATCACTTTTAACTATTTAAAATATTTATTGAGTTGTTTAAGTTAAACTTAAATTTATATTTAAGTTGACCCTGTAATGTTATATTCAAATTTATAATTTATGTATTTTATACAAATTGTTCCAAAATTGTATCTTTAAAATAATAATGGTTTACATCCAACAATACATTAAAACTAATAAATTAAGTATAATATGTTAAAAGTTAAAAAACATCACTTAATAAGTAGAAGTAAAGATATTATTTTAATATTGAAATTTAGTTTATATATGATTACACTTTAGGTTTAATATTTATTTAACCTTATTAACCAACTTATAATTATTATTAGAAAGAAATTGTAAAGTCATGGGAGTTTCAAATTAATGTTGTGAGAGGAAAAATGCATGGGAGTTTCAAATGAATGTGGTAAAAGGAAAAATGTTTCATTTATAATATAATATGAAATTTAAAATCTAGGGTAAATTACACAAATGGTCCCTTGGAAGTAATCTACGTGTTTGGTCCTAACTTTCTTTTTATAAAACAGACAATCCTCCTCTTACGTTTTTTTTGCATTTTGGTCCCTATAGAACATAAAAACATATTTTGTCCTTGTATAACATTTTTATCTTTTTCCTTTTCCTACTATAAACATTAACATTTGTCAAATGTTATTTCAATGTTCATAAGAGACATCAAGATACAGTGCTCTAACACTATGCTTTAACAACTTCTTAATTTTCTCGGGATTCTCTCTTCTATCATCTCTTAGATTGCTTGAGTTGGTACTTGATTTTCTCCAACTTCTATTCTCTATCATTTCACACATAATACCTTTTTAATCTCCTTCTCTAGACAAATCCACCACCATCGAGGCCCGCACCATTGTTGACCATCACACCACCTGACCACCACTGAAAATCATACCCCATTGTCTCCCTCATTCTCTCTAACCCTAAACGCAACCATCCACACCCAGACCTCACACCTAACATCACAGCTTCGTCTCCACCACTACCACCATACATGCATCACCATCCACTGTTGTTTTCGTCATCTGCTCTCTCTTGCTCTTTTGCACTCTCTTTTCTCTATAAAAGATAAAATTAAGCACCACAATCTCAATATTTGTGTATGGTAACTATTCAATTTTAACTATATATCTCTCAATCTCAGTTTGCGTGTTTTATTTGCTGCCTAAAATCCACCATGGATCTTAACAAGTTGAACGATACAAAAGAAGCACAAAAAGAGAAGTCTCACTAAAAATTATAAACAATGACAAGTTGTATGATCTAAAGATGAAATTGCAAATGTATGTTCTTCATTTTAATGTTTTCTCTTTTTGTCTTTCACATTTTTTTTATTTGGATTGGAAATTTGTTGGGTTTTTTTTTTTGTTGCAAACTTTATTTACCTTCAATTGATCCCGGTGATGTATGAGATTACCAATGAGATCATTGAAAAATAATATATAAAGGGTTAAGCACTTAAACCCAACATCTATAAAAGGTTCTTTCTTCCTCTCTACATCAATATATGCCCTATTTTTTTGTTTTTTAAAACCATAAATTTTGTTTCAGTTGTTTTGATTGTGAAAATAGATGAAACTATATAGGTATGTATTCATCTAAAACATGTTTAATTGAGCACACAAAATGTTTTTTTTTTTCATTTTGAAGATACATTCAATTTAAATGCTTTATTGTTGTGTGTACATTTTAGAGACGTATATGCTTTTTTTACTTCGATTTAAGGCTCATTTGAGGTGTATATAAAATTTTGTTTTTCTTAATTTTGGAGGAGGAAGAGAAGGATGTCGAAAAGCAATTAAGCACCCACATAAATGATTCCCTTGGAATTTCTTTCAAGCAAGCATCGTGCTGGCAGCATCAGAAAAGGTATATGTTGTTTCTTTGTTTTTCCTACAAACTTCGTATTATGTGTTTTGTTTGTTTTTTTATCTTACATATACTCGATCATCAAAAAAAAAAAATTTAAAAAAAGGAAACTTTGCTTGGTTTTGTTTGAAAGAAAAGGAGTCCTCATGGTTACAAAAAAATGATTTACTTTTTATTCACGGGTATTACATTAGAAAATGGTAGCTCAACGGTGTGTTATTTTCGGCTTTAGTCACGAGTTGCTTTATTAAAAACGTAATGGTTTTTGTTGAAATGATAAAATTGTTTACCAACATAGTATCTGAAACATAATCAGTGAAGAAAGATGATTAAATTTCCTTCAAATTGGCCTACTCATGGTAGTTTGGAGGTCAAAACTCAAAAGATATTAAAATACAGTTCTCGCATTCTCTCTACATGTAACATCATTTCTTTTGATAAGGATGCATTCATGCCTTATTTCTATCTTTTTTATTCGAGATCTAAAAAATCTCTAATGGTTCTTTATGTGATTTTAATAGGAGTTGATCATAAGGAACAACTATGACTAAGGATGATAGGAACTATAATGGAAAAAAGGTATTTTTGGCTATAATCGAAAGGAATGTGTTGGTATTAATGTGTTATTTAGAGAAGTGGGAATACATGCAATCTGACTTAACTAAAATTAGGTAGATAAATCAGTCTTTAGCATCAATTGATATTTATATATCTATTTAGAGAGCAAGTTTGCTAAATGAATGCATAATGTTATAGTAAGAAAAAAAATAGGTGTATTGCTATTTCTTGAATTTAGTCTATTTGTTTCGTTAATTTTCCAATATTGAATTCTCTCAGTTGCTTTGTTGCTCATAACCTATCAAGCCTTGGATATACCTGCAAGATTCGCAAGATGTAGTATTAGTAAGTAATTATATTATATAAATAGATTAATTTTGGGTTCCCAATTCAACAGTTCTTGCTGTTGATTGGACCGTTTTTTTTTTTTTAATTTTCTTCTACCGTTTTGTTTTTAATTTTCTTCTACAACTGTTTAAAAGAATAACTCCAATCAGAATTATGTTCCCTTACTTGCTACGTGTTGTTTCCCTGTTTGCTGTCAGATTTAGTTTTCATTCTACTATCACACATGTACGTTATCCTCTCCACCGATTCCTATTTTCCCAAAAACCCACCGCCTCCCATTCTCTCATCCACTTTACCCGTCTGCTTGCTTTTCATTCACACCGGCAAATCCTTCCCTACCGCCTCATTTCTCACTCTTTCAACTCCATCGAAATATCAAAGATGGTGGGCAGCAAGCCGATTTCTGATTCCGGTCGTTCATTGGTTGTGCTATTCATCATCAGAAATCGATTAAGAGAGAGGCAAACAATATTTTCTCCAATTTCTATTCACCATGACCCATACAATCGAACGCTGCCGACTCCCCCTTATCAGATTCTCCCCACCGCCTCCCTTATCCGATATCTCCATCCGTGTCGAATCGGCCTCATTTCCTCTGCACTTTCTACTCCGTCGCAACAACGCAACGAGGACACAGGTAACTTTTTTATTTTACAAATTAGAGGTTCAGTTATTTGTTTTCTTTTTTGGGTTGATTTTGTTTCTAGATCAATTTTACAACTGCAAAGGCAGGAGGATTTGAATGGGTTAGTTGGAGACGTTGAGTACAGGTTTGGGAAGTGGAAAGACTGAACAAGGTTACTACTTTTGGATGAGAAACATGCCTATAAGGCGTTCGATGAAATGCCTGATCCGATTAAGGTATTAATTCCAGGTTAGTTTACCTAATTCATTACTTGATTATAATTGTTTGATTATCCATTTTAAATGAATGAGGTATCCATTGTAGCTATTAAAAGTCCCAACTAAATTTACTTTTCTGCCCCTATGTTTCTGGATATTGAATTATGGAATGTTTTGAATCGTGTTTGTGAACGAACACAATTGTCATCAGGTAATTTGGTTTGGGGGGAGACGGAAGGCGAGGGAAGACAGGGAAGAGTGTAGGAGCAGGTTGATTCCACCATTTGTATTTCAATTTCACAGTTTTAGTGTTTGTAACTCTTATTCATTTTGTTCTTCGTTCTTTTTAAGTTTTGAACACCGACTACTTGACAAAAATCCTCAACGAAAAATTTGGTCAAGATTGTGTTTCTACTTGGTAAACTGTATGATCGATCTCTTCTTTTACACCAAATTACAATTCTACCATTCATAAGTTTTTTCATTAAAGGATGCACTTGCAACTGCTAAAAAGCTCACTTCAAATCGCAAGGAACAATTGATTAACGTACTTCCACTAATTTATTTTTCTTTTTTTGTATTCATGTTGTAAAATTTCTTTTTTCTTGCAGCTTCATAAATATTTTCCTAATATGAGAGAATATAGTGACAAACTTAAAAGATGTGAAGACCAACTCCAGGTTAGTCTCTCTATTATTATTGTTTTTTCTACTTAATGCAAACAGAACAACGCTATAGTTTTAAATGAGTTTTTCCTGTTTTCATGTTTATAAACGCTTTAATGAAATCTTTAATAGACTCTCTATGTATATATGTGTATGCATGTTTGTGACTTTTTTCCTTATGAAATTAGTGTTATCGTTTTGTTATCCTGTTTTCATTTGCAGATATAAATAATAATATTGTTATAGATGTTAGAAATTCTTAATTTTGTTTATTTTTAGACCAAAAAATGGAGAAACAATCTGAAGAATTGAGGGGCATATCAGGTAGATATGAACATGACAAGAAAGTTTGGGTGGCAAGCACACCACTGTGCTAACTCAGTTCCTTCCTGATCTCAATAACATGGTTTCTGCAGTTCAAGCAATGGGTGGGTAAATTAGTAAATTCATGATTAAATTTTCACCCTATTGTAAGTTTTAACATTTTCTATCATTACTTTTAGTTAAAAGGTGTGCAAACTTTTTCTTTTTTTTTTTTTTTTTTTTTTAACAAACATATGAAGTTTCTAACTTTCTATAAATACTAATTTTTTTTTATAGTTTCAGGAAACACACAGGTGTTTTGCAGATGACGTCCACCAAGCAAAAAAGAAACTTTGACCGGATGGTCAACCATGGTTGACTTTGATTCATCATCAAACGGACAATGCTTCACCATTGGTGGCTTCACTTTTCAATGTGTGCATATTTCAAAATGGTGAAACAGAGACAGGAAAGACATTTACCATGGAGGGTATTGAGGGAAATCGAGGGGTTAGTTACAGAACAGTAGAGGAATTATTCAAAATTGCAAAAGAAAGAATTGATACTTTTGCTTAGCAGTGGAACCTACAAATGATTATGCACAAGATTCACCATCAAAGTTGTCTTCTCCTGGGATAACTACATGGGCCAAAAGTCTTGAAACTTCCACAACCTTTAGGAGGCATATATGATGAATCTTCTTCATCTGAAAACACTCCAACAATGATAATGCGCATGGATGTTTCATCTTCAGGAAAGTTGCCAAGTCCCGGGTGGTATATTGCTAAAGATTTATGTGGTGTTTATTTGGCAAAAGAGCAGTTTTCCCTTCTAATAAATAAATGAATAAACTATGTCGCTTAATCTAAATCTGACCCCCGCAATGGCGGGGGGTACTTTTCTAGTTAATATAAATTCTTATTAGTTTGGATTTTATTTGTCAACTGAGACATTTCTCGAGTTTTTTACTTGATGCTTGTAAGCAGAAAATTAAAATATATTTACCAAGTAATTGTAGTTTATTAAAAGATTAATAAAAATACATATTTAACCCTTTTTCCCTTACGTGTTCATTGTCACGCGCCAGATGTCACACGAATTTTGCTCTCTCATGGTTTCTCCGTCCTTCGCCGGAAATATCTTTCTCGCTAAACATAAAACACTTACATGTGCTTGCACAATACATGCAACTGTTATTTTCTATGTTATGAGCACTACAAAGAAAAAGATAATTAGCGGCGACAAAAATTGCCGGTAAAAGGTCTAATTATCGCCGGTAATAGTAATAGCGGCAACATGTCGCCGGTAATAAGTCGTCGCTACTGCTTCGTCGCTATTGATCAAATTGTCGCCGCTAATAATCTTGTCGCCGGTAAAGAGTTTCGTCGCCGGTAATGATTATGTCGCCTGATTATGTCGCCGGTAATAACAGTTTTCATTTTTTAATTTTTTTTTATTCAACGATTTTGGTTGCCGGTAATAAGGTCGCCGGTAATTACATAACAACATTCGATTAATATCAAAAATAATAGTGTCGACGCTAATTACAAAACAAACATCCGATTAAATATCAAATGTAATAGTGTCGCCGGTAATCACACGCACATCCGATTAAATATAAAAAGTAATAATGTCGCCGGTAATAATGTCGTCGGTAATTACAGAAAACAATCAAATATTTTACAATCTAACAAGTAGCAAAGCGTGACAACAAGTGTAATATGCAAATAAAACTCATCTCTACATATCATCATCTTCATTTCCATCATTTCCTCGATTATTTTGGGATTGAAAAAACGAATAAAGCTTATCCCTACATGTCGGGTCGTTGAGCATTGCACGAAGATTTTCCAACTACATAATTAATAACAACATATATAAACTTATAAGTTAAATTATCAAACATAAACAAAAACTATCAAAGTACATTGTTATTTTTAAATTAAGACAAAAAGCCAAAGTACATTGCTATTTCTTGCACTTCGGACAAAAACCCAGTTATCAAACTTTTTAGCAAATAATCACCACAAACCAAAATTAACAAATCAACATGCATTTTATGATGCTAAAGTAGATTGGTATTTTTAAACTAAGACAAAAAACCAAAGTACGTTGTTATTTTTTGCACTTGGGACAAAAACCTAATTACCAAAGTTTTTAGCAAATAATCACCACAAAACCAAAATTACCAAATCAGCATGCATTTTATGATGCCAAAGTAGACTGCTATTTTTAAACTAAGATTAAAAACCAAAGTACATTGTTATTTCTTGCACTTGGGACAAAAACCCATTTATCAATGCTTTTAGCAAATAATCACCACAAAACCAAAATTACCAAATTAACATGCATTTTATGATGCAAAAGTAGATTGGTATTTTTAAACTAAGACAAAATACCAAACTACATTGCTATTTCTTGCACTTGGGACAAAATCCTAATTACCAAAACTTTTTGCAAATAATCACCACAAAAAACCAAAGTAGATTGTTTTACCTGTGATGGTTGTGATGGTTGCGATGGCTGTGGAATCTGCGGGAGACCAGAAGGTTTACGGCCGATGCCTCTGATATGGCCACGTCGCTCTCCTAATACTTTCTCAAAAGCAACTCTTTCTTGAGCGGGTGTTAACTCACTTCCACCTTGGGTTTGTTCTAAGAGCTCTTCGACTAACCGATTATGTAACTCCCAAAAGTGAGTAACATTTAAGTATAAATAAACATTTAATTATATGATAAAATTATAATTAAATACTTACATATTGTTGTTCCGCCTCAGCAGTAACAAATACACCATCCCTATCGGTATGAGCTTTGCGAAACGTTTCCACTCTCTTAAGGTTCTGTGTAACTTTAAAAATAAGATTATATTTTAAATAAATAATTATATATATCATACGTTACCTTCTTATAGCAAGTACTGTTATACGAGCTCGACCCCTCACGATTCACATTTGTTTGCTTTTCACGGACTTTTTTGTTCCTTTCTTAAGCAATTTCGTGTTCGTCCGTTTGGAAATACTCAACTGCTTTCTTCCAGTTATCACCTTCCATACCCTCTGGAGGGTTGGCTAATGCTCTCGGGATATCTTCATACCCTCCGACTAACATAAAATATTCTTTTGCGTCAGCTTTATGTTATCGATAACCTTTTAACAAAGCTGCTTGAAAACTCTCTGTCAACATATTAGCTTGTACATCCTGGTACAGCTTGTACATCCTGGAACATCTGATCCAAATCAAACTTTGTCTACAAAAAAAAAAGTTAACCAAGTAAAAACTAGTTATAGTTAACCATATAAAATATTTCTAAATAAATAATTACCCCTAAATGTTGTAATACGCTGTCCTTTATTGTAGGGGAAACTTTTTTCCAAGTCCATTTATCAAAAGGGACCATGTGCCACATTGTTTTTCCAACTTCTCGTGAAAACATGTCTTTCGGCTCTCTTACGGGATCAAATGTTATATCCCTATCATATTCCATGCTAATCGGTTTGCCCTGATTCCGTAAAATCGCTTTTTCAAGCTTTATATTTTTGGCTTTGCCTCGAACTTCCCTACGTGCACGTTGCTCAACTACAAATGTAATTAAAAATTATTACAAACGGTATTTAATTTATAATAACTGAATAAAAATAGTATATAAAAATTCATAATAAGACTTACGGTCCTGCTCGTGATGACCAACACCTCTACCACCTGGGAGAGGTGGGTCCTCAGCTCCATCACCCCCGTGTCCACGACCCATAACAGCAGCCATGATATACACAAACAAAAGCTATATTGACATCATTTCCTGAAAAGTTATAAGATATATATACAAATACAATTTTTATTACAAATACACATTACATAGGAATAAACATTTCTATTTAACTAGAAATCCAAATAAAGTTCATATTACAAACACGTATTACATAAGAACTATTCTAATCAGAATCTTCCTCATATCCTTTAGTGTCTTCTTCGGTATCATAATCAGAATCGGTCTCATCGTAATCAGTCTCGCAATCAGAAACATCATTGACTCTACCAGTTGGCGGAGGAACTTCAGTTGCACTTTCTACATCACCAATGACTCTAGGAATGTTTTGAAAGTACATGCTGAAATCGATAAAAAGTGGAGCATCGGATGAAGAGATATTTTGAAGTACATCGACATTGTCTACATTTTCGTGTGAGCCATTGTCAACATTTTGGACACGATCATTGTTCGATGGTAGATCCCAAATACTTCGATGATTAACATGCTCGACAACACACCGATGGTTATTGTTTGGCTCTCTGATGTAGAACACTTGTTTGGCCTGTGAAGCATATATGAGTTGATCATCTTTGTATGCTTCGCGTCGTGTGTCGATACTGGTGAAATTATCACTAGAAATAACTCATGTTCGAGTATCAAACAACTTACAATGAAATAGTACAGTTGAATAATCATGTGTATACCTCAACTCTATAATCTCTTCTAACTGGCCATAATATTTCTCGCCTTTCTCACCCACCGCTAAAACCCCAGAGTTTTGTGTTGTGCGTTGTGCGTAACGACTAAGTACCATAAACCTAACACCGTTGACTATGCATGCGGTGTAAGAATAAGCATTCATTTGTGGACCCATTGCAAGAGTTGACAACTCTCTGTGGAATTCTGTAAAGTTTTCTATTTTCATTTGATGAACCTAGCAATTATAAAGTAATATGTATTATGTATTCGTTAGATCAATGAAACAAATTTGTTTATTAATTTATATTACCTTTTCACGAAACCAATTACGAAATTCTCGCTTTTCATCACTTTGGGGATGTTCAGATTTGAATTTCCTATGTTGATGACCAAAAGATATAGATTTAAAAAGATAAATAAAATTAAGGATAAAAGTTAGAGATAAGAGTAGTTACTTGATATACTGTGTGTCTTCTTCATAGCTATTCAAAACAAACCATTCCATGTTACGCATTTCCGTTAAATTAAGAGTTTTGATTTGAGTTGTGTTGGTCGGTCGACATTTAGACTCAAACATCCAAAACTTTGTTTTTTCAATGACAACATCTTTATTTCTTTCCGGACGATTGAATTGATTTTTTACATCTCGAAGGTACATCAAACAAAATGATAAAGCTTCTTCCGTAATATAACCCTCAGCTATAGAACCTTCCGGCCTCGCCTTGTTTCTGACATAGTTTTTTAGTTTTTTCATATACCTTTCGAAGGGATACATCCATCTCATACATACCGGGCCTCCGGCAATCGCTTGATCAGGTAAATGCAAAAGTAAATGAACCATAATGTCAAAAAACGCTGGAGGATAAATCAATTCTAACTTGCACAAGATTGCAATAATGTCTACTTTTGCTTTCCTCATATCCTCCACCTTCAATGTTCTGGAACAGAGTTGCTTGAAAAACGTACAAAGGTCTACAATAGGTGTATAAGTGTCTTTGTCTAACAACCCTCTTACTCTAATCGGTATCAAACGTTGCATAAGAATGTGGTGGTCATGTGCTTTCAACTCAATAATGTTAGTATTGGTATCATTCACTTTCTTACTAATGTTAGAACCAAACCCATCTGGCAGTTTAACATCTTTTATAAATTGACAAAAGAGTTGTCGACTAGATTTCGTGAAAGAGTATCTTGCATGGGGTCTATGAAACTTGTCACCATTTTTTTGCAACCATTCATTGCTCCGAATGTTTAGAATTCTCAAGTCCTCTCGTGCATTTGATGTGTCTTTACTTTTATCATTCATTAGAAGAGTACCTAACAAACTCTCGTCCACATTTTTCTAGACATGCATGAGATCTATGTTGTGTTTCAACTGTAGAGAAGACCAATACTCGAGTTCGAAGAAAATGCTTCGTTTCGACCAGTTCAACTCGTAATCTTGCCGCTTTGGCTCCCCACCTCTATGCTCAGGATGTTTACCCGGTTTACGAGTTAGTAGACGACCTAGTTGCTCTTGTATGTCGTCATTACTAAAGTGTCTCAGAGCGGGTCTT